CTGGGCAGTTGAGGTTAGCCTACTGCAAAAGTGAAGAACAAATTGCGGATTTGTTGACGAAAACGGTTTCAAATGATGTGTTCAAGCGGCTATTGAGGAGTTTAAACATGAGAAATGTGGAGCATTTATCTTAAGGTGGTGTGTTGATGTTTGAGTAAGATAAATGCAAGGGAATAAAGCTCAGAAGTTGTTTTTGAAAAAACAACTTAAATGGATAAGTTGTTTGAAGGCTGTAGCAAATAGTGCAGGAATTGAAATTTTCAGTTTTGACAGTTAGTTTGTTTGTTTTGCTTATTACATGTTTAGCACTATATAAGGGAATGTATTGTATTGTGTAACAACTAATATACCATTGTGAATAAAGTTTCTCAATTCTCCTCAATTATCTCTCACTCTTTCTCTCAATTTCATCTTCATCTTCCCTAATTTCCCTTTCCACCATTTTTATCCACCCTCTATTGTTTTGTGTTCTAACAATTTTAATGGAGGAAAGGAAAGGGGAGGGGAGGTGAAATTTTTTTTAATCAGATAAATGTTTGGTTCAAAAGAGGAGAAAGAAGAAGAGAGATTTTAATTAAAAATGTGTTTGGTTCAGGAGAGGAAGAGAGAGAGAGATTTTAATTAAAAATGTGTTTGGTTCAGGAGGGAAGGGAAGAAATTTTATTAATAATTTACATTTTTATCTTTACGATCTTATATAGGTGATATGATATTCATATGTGAAAAAATCATACATATTTTTTATGATAATAAAATTTTTAATATTGAGTGACTAAAAATGTATTTATTTTCCACATAAAGTTAAAAAAATTGAATACACTTGATTCAGATTATAACTCTAATATAAATTAAATTATATGCTGATAACATTGTTTAAATCTCTGAATCATCTAACGAAACAAATACATAAAATAAATTATTATTAAATATTAATGGTTCAAAATGTTTAATAAAATGAATGAAAAAATAGTTTAAAATTTGATATAAAAAATATGATAGGATACATATCAAAATTAGAATAAAAAACAAACGTAACTAAATATAATATTTTTAATTAAAAAACAAACAAAAAAGTGCAATGATTATGATTTTTATAAAGTATAAAAATTGTACAATAATTTGAACGTAGATAACAATTATAATAAGATGATGAAAGCAATCGAGAAAATCACACAGAAGAAAGTAGTAATACGAAAGAAAGCGAATAATTTTAAAATACTAAAATTAAACTGAGAATATTTTAGTAAACATAATAAATTTTTAAATATCCAAACCCATATTCCCTCCCCTCCAAATTGGAAGGGGGCAAAAAGTGTGTTTCGGAGGGATTTTGCTCTCCTCCCTTCCCCTCTTAAAATTTGAACCAAACATATTTAATTAAAAATCTCCCCTCTCATTCCCTCCTCTCCATCTACCCCGAACCAAACACACCCTCGTGCAAGCTCTATCAAATGCTTGCAATATTTCTATCGGTCATTTGTCATAATCTTGCCTTAAGGGTAAGACCCTCGTGATTGCCATATTGTTCTCTATTAATATCGTATTAGTAATTTTGGGTGAGTAATTTGCAGCAGAAATAAAGTAATGAAAGTAAATTGTTGAAAGTAAAATGAAAGAGTTATATAAATTGCACCAGAGATTTATGCAAGTTTGGCCGAATGTTGGCCTAGTCTTGTTTTCAAGAGGTCTTTTTGAGAATTTGACTATAAACTTTTAGGTTTTAAATGTTATAGCCACGAATCCTAATACAATTTGATCTTGATATTTTTACAGGCTTATCCATAACTAATGATAGCTTTTATTCCAGACTAAACTAACAAACTGGTTTGAGATTTATGCCATATTTAAATAACTAAAATAAAGTTTTTTTGGCCAAAACTTAAGAAAGCAACCAGAGATTTTATGACAAAGTTATCTCACGAGTCAAACTCGATATCAAGATTATCACCATACACACACACACACAGAGATGAATCCTTTGTATAGTAGTTAGAAAACTATATATATATATATATATATATATATATATATATATATATATATATATATATATATATATATATATATATATATATATATATATATATATATATATATATATATATATATATATATAGAGAGAGAGAGAGAGAGAGAGAGAGAGAGAGAGAGAGAGAGAGAGAGAGAGAGAGAGAGAGAGAGAGAGAGAGAGAGAGAGAGAGAGAGAGAGAGAGAGAGAGAGAGAGAGAGAGAGAGAGAGAGAGAGAGAGAGGAGGGGGGGAGAGAGAGACGTCTCCTTTGTATAGTAGTTGGAAAACAAAAAATAGAAATAATCCATGGGCTGAATTAAGAGCCAATAGATTGACCAATTCATTTTTAATCAATTAGCAAGCCTAGGAAGTATTTTAGTTTTCCTATCATTGACATTTCGAACTCATTTTGTATGATTTTATAAAATTCTTTGCACACGGATTCGTTAGTAGCACACAAGATAATATCATCAACCTAAATTTGAACTAGTATGATATCATGCTCTAATTTCTTGATGAAAAGAGTTTTATCAACTCGTCCTCTCTGAAACTTGTTTTCAAGCAAGAACTTACTTAAACGGTCATACCAAGCTCTAGGAGCTTGTTTCAGACCATATAGTTCCTTCTTAAGCTTGAAAACATGATTTGGAAAACTTGGGTTGATAAAGCCTGAAGGTTAGTCAACGAATACCTCCTCTTGGATGTAACCATTTAGAAATGAAATTTTTACATCAATTTGAAATTCATGATGCAGAAGAAAGCTAATAGGATCCGTTTTACTTCTAATATAGCTACATAAGCATAGGATACATCAAAATATATTATATCATGTTGTTCGTATCCTTTTGCAACGAGTGTGACTTTATTTCTTAAAACATTATCATCTTCATCTAGCTTGTTGCGAAAAAATCATCGGGTATCCAAGGGTTCAAGTCATCGACACGTTTTTTATGAACAGTCATAGAAACGTTTGACATTACTTCTAAAATCACTTTCTGAAATTCAAGTGTTAGGATTAAAAGGATTTGTGGGGAATTGGAAGGGATCGTTGACTTTAAGTCGGTAATAAACAAGCATAAGTATGAGCTAGTGTGTGTATAAGTGAATTTGAAAAAGTTCATTAAAGTTCTTGTCCTTTCAAAAACTTGTGTACCTCTTAGAAGGGATTGTTGGCTATAAGTCTGTAATAAATAAGTACACGTATGAACTAGTGTGTGTATATATAAATAAACACAATCATAAAAACGTATGACGTTACTTCTAAAATCACTTTTTAGAATTCAAGTGGGGGATTGTTGGAATTAAAAGGGTTAGTGGAGAATCGGAAGGGGCTGTTAACTTTGAGTCAGTAATAAATAAGTATAAGTATGAGCTAATGTGTGTAGAAAGGAATTTGAAAAACGTTTGACGTTTTTAAAGTCACTTTTTGAAATTTAAGTGGGGAATTATTAAAATTAAAAGGATTAATGGGGAATTGGAAGGGATTTTGACTTTAAATCGGTAGTCCTTTCGTCCCACAATTAGTGACCTAGTTGACAAATATTAAGAAAAGTGGATAAATGAAAAAGAAAGAATTGTATTTTTACCAACATACTCATTATAAAGTATTGGAAGTAATGAAAGTAATAATAATTAAATGGTACAATTGGAGAAAAAAATTTAATTTGTTTTGCAAATTAAAATGATAATTTTATTTTGAAATACATAATTAATTTATTTTACAAATTAAAATAGATCATTCATTTTGAGAGTAATAAATAAACTAAGTGTGAGTAAAAGTGAATTTAAAAATATTCATTAAAATCCTCCTTCAATATAGAATTTTAATAAACTTTAATAAATTCAACTTTACACGAGCTAATTCATGGATTTGGATCCTCTCCTTTTTTATATATAATGTCATCTCTCATGTTTCTAATCTAACGGTTCAGAATTTATAATGAATAATTAAATTAAAAAAAAAGTCATTTAATAGGAGAGAAACGGATAAGTAATTTGTCTTTGTTTAAATGACTTTTTTATTTAATTATTCAATTATAAATTATGAATCGTTAAATTAGAAATATGAGAGATGACATGATATATAAAAAAGGAGAGGATCCAAATCCCTAATTCATACCTAAGACTTTCTCCAAGAGACCGGTATTTCATATATAAGCACGATTAAAGAGAATTTTAATTACTCCCTTTGCTTTTTATTATAGATTGTTTTTGGAAAAATATTTTGTATCACAATATAAGTCGTTTTATAATATCAATAAATCGTTAATGATATTTTTCCAATTAACTCTTAAATATTTATTATTCTCTTTCTTTTCTTTTAATTATTTAATTTGTCTTTCCAATATCATTAATGAAAGATAACTTTGTAAAATCCTTTGTAATTTTTCTTTTCAATATTGTAGTTATTACATTTCTTAATACGTGTGAAAAATTCAAAAAATAACTTTTTAAAATTCAACTCTTCCCATAGTAACTCATAACTCATACTTGTACTTTGTTATTATTGACGTGAAGCCAATAATCTCTTCCAATTCCCCACTAATCCTTTTAATTCTAACAATCTTCTCGACATCAAACTTTTGGAGGATATTAGAATTTATTTTAAGGTGGATTTTGCATTTTGATATTGGTTCCAGGGCTGCTTTTATCCAACTTTAAACTATTTGACATGTATGTCATATTATTTCAGGTTTAACTAACTATTTTATGCAACTTTTAACTAACTTAACCAAATTAAACTAACATAATAACTGTAAATCTGTAATAACACCACAGTTTCAGTCTATAAAACAAACAAACAAAACGCCAAATTGTGTACATGTTAACATGTGAAAACTTACCTTCTCCTATTGTTTGGCAGCCACAACATTGGGCAGAATATAAACTCAACCTCAACCGTAGAATATTTTATGTATCAAAATGGCATTGCAAAACAATGCGAATATTTTAACTTTACAAAACAAACCACTATGCATTACAACTACAAGTTCAACTTGTTTCAGTAATATCAGATTTGTCACCATTGTCTGATTCACCTTCTGTTTCTTCAGTTGTATCTGCAGCCTCCTCATCTTTTATCTTTGACACGCGAAACATAGCCAAATGAGTATCCCCTAACATTGACAATGATAAGCTTTAAATAAGCTAAAATTGTAATAGTTCATTGAATGATCATCAAATTAACCAGTTAAAAAACCTAACATAGTTATTCAACAGAAAAGGACAGCAATTAGATACATAAAAAAGAGAGTTAGAGTAATACCAAAAGTGATAAAACTCCCAGGAGATACAGAGGTAACCACTCCAGGTCTCAGCCGTTTCTCATTGACGTATGTCCCATTGGTGCTATCCAAATCCATAACTAGAAGATTGTCTTCTTTTTTCCGAATGCGTGCGTGCGCACCAGACACTGCCAGTATAGAAGAAATTACACTTTAAAGTATATGTATGATTGTAATTGTAGTAAAAACAAGAAGAATCAAAAGATTTTATCAATCGAAACTTATATACCTGTTGCGACTTGAATCACCAGATCAGCTTTCTCTGGAACACGTCCTACGGTGACTTCATTCTATATAATTCAAAACAAACCAATTAGTTAATTTGAAGCATACTCAGCAGCACAAACAATTGATTCTGAAATTACTTACAGAATCAATTTCGTATGCACCTGGCATCGCAACCTTGTAGCCTATATGCCTAGAATCACCATCTCCTATCAAATAGATACAGATTTAAACTAGTTTTTAATTGTTATTTCTAAGTTATTGTTTGTTGAAAATGTAACTAACCAATTGGTTCAAGAATCCATCTTCCAGTAGCGTTTGTTGTGGGAGTTGTAGCCTCTGATGCATGTATAGCTCCCATTTTTTCCTTTTCTTTTGTTATGGGATTTATAACTCCACCACCAGATTGCTGAGAAAGAAAGCATTTGGGGAAATGATGTGTTGATGAATTGAAAGTTACTGAAGTGGCTTTGGAGTGGAATAAAAGTGGTGAATTTGATGAAGAACTAGAGTAGGTTTGAGAATTAGGGATTTTTGTTAGGTAGAGAGATTTTGTTATGGCTTCCATGGTTGCTAGGATTGTAAGATCAATGACTGAGAAATGAAGTGTAGTTGGTTGCATGGGAGATGGACTTGTCAATTGAGTATGTGGCAGCCATTTAATGATTCACTAGATATTGGATAACTATATCTTCATATCTCCAACTTGTTTATGTCCTATTGTTTTAATTTTTTTATTTATTTGGTTGCATAGTGAAAACCACGTAATCTATTTTTTATTATTAGAGTTCCTTATTCTACATACTAAGTCAACATTTAATTTTGAATATTATAATTAAAATTGGAGGCTAGTTGTTTGAATATCTCATTGCAATATGCATGTTGCAGATTAGGTCATTAATTAATTTTGATATGTTTAATTGTTCTTGAATAAAATTGATTGTCTATAGAATTAATTTTACCTTAAAAATTTTATTGTCAACTTTTTGTAGCCCAAATTTGATACTTTGATTGAAAGGCCAAAATAATTATGCTTTTTTTTTTTTTTTTAATTTCTTCAATTGCTTTTAATTATTATATTGTACTTTCAATAATCTATATCGAGATTCCGAACAACTTACTGCATACTTATGACTTTAGTTATAAAAGACTAGGGGTAAGAGTTGTTTAAAATGAAATTATAAAAGTAAAAATGTATTGAAAACTGATTTTTCTAATTTTTTTTCCCCACTCACATCTTGAGGAAACACAGATTAAGTAGAGGAGATAACTTAACTTACCAAAAACACAAGGTTGGGGTGGGGATACATAATACATTACCAGTTTTGTAAAAGAAAAGAATAACTAAATATTTTAACAAAAATTAACTTGTATGCATTACTAAAGGGAGGCATTTTGATGACCTAAAAAATTAGTGTCTTTTGGAGACAAGTCTATCAAGGACGTGGCTCTTTGACACAATGTCTGGGATCTGGCAATAGCTTCTGCTCAAGCGGCTTCAATCCTTTTCTAGACCAGTAATTTACAAATGTAGTTTCTAGCTTCCTCACCTATCATCACAATCATCAAAACATTACTTATCAGAAAATCAAGTTCAAGTGTTGTAGCATCCAAAAAAGAAAATGAATATGAAGTACAAACCTGCTTAACGATGAATGGCTCCTCCGTAAGACTCAATGGCTCTGTCAAGATAGTAAGAAATCCATTTCGATTGCCATAAACTATGTCAGTCAAAGGACGGTCGCCCACCTACATCCGAATATTTATGGTTTAACATAAACATGAATCAAACTACATAAGAAATATCTAATCTAATAGAAAATAAACAATAAAAATTCATATTTTACCATGATTAACTGTGATGAATCACAGCCAAAATGTTTTTCTACTTCTTCAGCTGTGCCACCTGGCTTCTTCACTCCTGCAGCAGCATACATACACATATCAACAATAACGTGGAGTCAATTCTTCCTCGGAATTTTCATAGTCCTAGTATTTTTACACAAGCTTAAGATAACGTTTATTTTCAAGATGAAACAAACATTAGAGAATTAAATTCTAAACAGAAAAAAGGCACCACTCACTGTGTCTGATGACTTTAATTCCAATTGTATTCTCAAGATGCCTAGCTTTTGAACCATCATGGTCATACTCACTAAGTCCTGATTTACAATATCAACAAATCAGCATGAAACACGCTGTATGACTACATGAATAACAACTACTGCCATAATTTCGGAATAATTTTGAAATGCTCCATGTTAGAATTACCAGCTGAGTTACTAAATACAGCAATATCTGGACCAAACTCTGATTTACAACTTTCCAATGAAGACTCGAGCAGAGGCCAGGGTGTTAAAGAGTAAGGCGCTGTAATAGTATTATCTTTGTCAAAGACAACACCCTTAAATCCCTTTCTACGTAGAGCAGCCCAGTCAATGTATCGTATATCACGAACTGAAATATGGGGCAGTGCCAAATGTGGGTCTTTTAAGATCACCATAGTTGAACAAAGAATGCCCTCAAAGTTGATGCTTTGGCCAAATGCCGCTTTCAAATCTACCCACCACATCTTAGTAAAAAGTACACTTTTTTTGTCGTTTTCCTTGAATTCCCTTTGTCTGTCTACTTGATGTTGATTCTGGTTTCTGGTTTCTGGATTTTGATTATTGGTGTCTTCTGAGTCAGCAAGTGAGAAGAATTTAATAAGGACCAGGTGTTTGTCGTCCTGATTTGAATCAGAATTGTATCTAGACCTGTAATTGCTTTCAACCCCTTTGCAGCAACTGTATGTCTGAGGAAGACTTGGACCGTATAAGTTCCTGAGAGGGATTTGGTTATCTGCATTGGCAAGCGATAGAGTGGTGAGTTTTCTCTTTTGTCGGGTATGATGATGGACATTAAGATGGCTGGGAATGCGGTACCAGCAACTGGGAAGCTGCGCAGCAGCACTAGTAGACAGCATTTTTTAAGAGTTTTTCTTGCTTAATTAATGCTTGACCACGTGTTGCTACAGCTGTATGCTTCAATGATCTCTATTTATAATAGTAATTATCAGTATAATCAGACACATTAAGGTTAAACAAATTTGAATTTTTGTATCAGTGAAAGTGTAATGAGAATTAACATATCATCTTACATAAAATACTATGTACATGTGATCATTTGAAAGAGTAAAGACTAACATGTATACCCGAACTAAAAGGAAATAGGAATAAGATATTAATTGATACAGAGTCTTCTCTTTGAAAAACATTTCAGCCTAGCTTACTGTTGTTGCCATTCATTGCTTCTTTGTCCAGTTGTTGCATTAATTTTGAATGTCTATAAGCAAAGCATGTAACAGTGATCTCGAGGACACGAAACTAAAGCACATCCCACAAGGTCAATAGTACAGATATTCATCGTTGATTATTATTAGTCATCACCAAAAAATCAATTATTGGTTTATAATAATGCAGAAGTGAAAAGATAACTACATATACTCACACTAATATGCTCCGTGTATTAGCACTTATTTATCTTCACCGTGAACTAAAAAAATCATGGAATGACAGAAACAAACAACCCACATGCGAAATCATGTCTCAACACTAACCTATCACGTAACCTATCCTGTGTCAAGAAAATAAATTTTGCAGAAAATTTAGTCACGTGCTCAGATTCTTAGAATGCCTGAACTAAATACTGAACCAACTTTAAAATAAATACACAAAACATTGACCTGTTACTGTCAGAATTAGAAGAATAAAAGGGCAGCCCAGATATGAATCAAATACAACAACAACAACTAAGCCTTATTCTATTAAGTGGGATCGGCTACATGGATCAACTTTCGCCATAATGTTCTATCAAGGAGCATGTTTCTATCCAAATCATTAATCTCGAGATTTCTCTTAATAACTTCTCTGATAGTCTTTCTACGTCTTTCACTTTCTCTAATTATTTGTCTTCTCTCCATCTGGTCTACCCTCCTTACTACAGAATCTACCCGTCTTCTCTCTACATGCCCAAACCACAAGAAAACATTATCTCTAACGGTAACAAACGACATAAAAGTTTTTTCCCACTAGATGAGGAATTTTACGGGAATTAAATGACTTGTGCCCTCATAATGTCCTCTAAATCTCTCTGAGAGGTTTAACCAACAATAGTTTTCTTCGCATTTCATTATCTCTCAGTCTCATTAATGAATTATTCTCCCTATGATTTCTTATAGTTCATGCTCTACGGTTTTTCTTCACATGTTCAAAGCACACAAGACCAGATTCTGCAATCGTTTCTACTAAAGAAACAAAGCCAATTATCCCTAAAATAATTGCATCTCTAATTCTATCCCATCTTGAGTAACTACCCGTCCATCCTAACATTACATCTCTGTAATCAGAATAGTCAATCCCGGATAGCGGCGTGGAGACCCCAAAAAATGGGATAGTAATATAAATGTAACCGTAATCTCAACCACAACAAGAATTGAAACAATTATGATGTAAATTGAAAAGTTAAAGAGAGAGAACTCACTGGAAGAGAATGATGAATGAGTTGTGGATGAGGAAAAGGGAATCGAGAAAAGTGAGTCAGTGGTGTTTGCCGCCGCTGCAGTGCGTTGTTTTCAATGAACGGCCGAGTGAGTGAGAAATATTTGAAGTTGGGGAACGGTTTGCATAAGATAGGGGTGGAGTGGAGTGGATCTATTTTTTTTTTTTTTTTTTTTTATTCCATTTCATTCCATTCATGAATCAACACGTTTTTTAGCCGATTCTATGTAATTTATTTATACTTTTATTTTACTTCACCAGATTCGGAGTGAACATGTACATGGCAGGCAGTCCCATATAGAAAAATAATTAAAAAATAAAATCTACTTATTAGAGAAGGGTTATTCTTACTCCAAAATTTACTTGATCATTTATTTATTTTTAATAAATGATTAATAATAATATTAATAATTGAATATAGAAAAAAAATTGCTCACATGACAATAAATAATTAATTATTTTTAATTATAGATAAAAAATGAATTAATAGTCAAAATGTAGAATAAATTACTCCTTAAGTAAATTATTCTGAAATGAGTGAGGTTAGAATAGTCAATACAACAACTGAATTCAATGAGAATGATGGACACTTGACACATGATCCTGTTTTTCCGGAGCCAAAATGTGGAATGAGAGAAAGGAGCTCTTACAGAAAATATGTCATTGACTATGTTAAATAGGCCAATGATTGGTTACTAGAGGGGGAATTGAATATGGAAGAATATGACTCTCTTCTCTCTCGGAAGCTTATGTTTTGTTAGTACTATTCTTTAGATTTCATCTTTCCATTTTCTTCAAAGGATAATTGTACTATTGTACTGATTATTAGTACAATTTTCATCACTTTTCTACTGTGTTATAGATTCACTTATTTGCATCCATAACAAATTCTCAACGTAATAATACATTTTAAAAAATAGTTTTAGTCTCAATAATATTTAGAATAAGTTGGATAAAATTATCCAACTAACATGTCAAAAGTTTAATGGTTCAAGTGTATATTAATTCATGTAATTGTAATTCAATTTCATTTTTATTAATGGTATTTAGTTGTAAAAAAATAGATTTAAATTCATTTTTGATCTTCTTATTTTGAAGTTTTTTAAAATGAAAAATGTTATTTCTTCACTAAAACATACACTCCAGGGTATTTCACTGTTCACCATATTGGTGAACAGTGAAATATTATAATAATAAAGTAATTTTTTTGAATGAAGGAGTATTGTGTGATTAACCAACTTCATAACTTCATAAATCAATATTTCACATTTCATTAACCAACTTTGTTTTCTTATTGAAAATTATTTTTATATTTAAGCATTTATTAACCAAGTTTATAATTTCAATAACCAACTTTTTACATTTCATTAACCAACTTTGTTTTACTATTAAAAAATATTTTTAATATCTGGACGTTTATTAACCAAATTTATCACTTCATTAACCAATTTTTTATATTTCATTAACAAACTTTATTTTACTTTAAAAGATCACTATTCATGCACTGCGCACGTACATTGTTCAGATGACATTATTCATGCATTGTTCATGTGCGGTTTCACTATTCACGACACTGTTCACCGTATTTATGAACAGTGCATACGGTGTAGGTGTAAGTGTGGGTGCAGGAATATCAATGCTGTTTTAAAATTTAGCTCCCATTTTAAAAGCCAACTTTTCAGTCTCTAAAGTTTACTTTCCTTGAGATTTCTATAGTTCTCTTCAATTCGACAGTCTTATTAATGACATGACGCATGTGCGGTACATCCACGTCATATTTAATGAATATTTTATTTTATAATATTTAATTTTAATATTAAAAAAATATTTTAATTTAAATAATCATTAGGATAAATTTTTTGTTAATATATTTTTAATTCATTTTTTTTATATAAATATATTTTGAATTTGAGACAAATTTTAAAATAATAGATTTGAACCTTTAACTCAAATGACAATGCTTCTCCACCTCAGCCCACAATTGTTTTTATTGTCAAATTTGTTTAATTTATATAAACACTAAAACTCTCTTCACCTAAAACAATGTGGGACTATGCTAGGGATGACAACGAGTAGGGCTTGGACAGGGTACTATAATACTCGTCCTCATACATGCAATTGAAAAAAATCCTTATACTTGATCCCATACTCGGTTGAGTAACAACATTGACACCCGTACCCGTACCCTATGGGTATGTAGGTGTCCGTAACCGTATCCGTTACCCGCATTTTTGATAAAAATAAATATATCAAGTATAAAATATCATATTATTTTAAGTTTTTAACGATATTAAAAAAATTTTAAGAAAATTTACTGTTGGATTATGAAATAAAAGATCACTTGTATTAAACATGTATTAGTGTAAAATTGATGTATTTTAAAAATTGATAGACATTTACTTTTATATACTAATATAAATAAAAATATATAAATATATATTGTGTGGGTATGGGGCGGGGTGGGTACTAAGGTGCCCATCTCCACACCCATCCCTGCTTATTTTAGTGGGTAATTATCCGAGCCTGTACCCGTATCCATTTTTGCGAGTTTTTACCCTTGAACGTATTTATGATCTTTGGAGAAAAATCAACACACTTGCCCGTGACATATACCTTCCTATATTCCTTACTCTTCTTATTGTTACAGTCAATAGGAATGTTCACAATGAACTCCTTCACAAGCATTTCATAACATTTACCAAGTCCAACAACCCTTTTCATTATTCCTGCCTGTTCAATGAGACTTACAACCTCCTTATAGGAAGCAGTTAATTCTTTATAAGTGACCTATACATCACAAGAATCTTCATCAGAATTACATATACCAGTGAGCGTTGTAACTTGCTTAGCAGTTTCATTATTAGTTTCACTTTCAGACTCATCAGGAAGTAGTCAAACCCTTCTTCTGTTTTTTGGGGAATGTTGGACATTTTGGCCTAATGTGACCAAAACCCTCACATTCATGACTTCTATCTTGATTTGCCTTCTCCAAATTTCTTGATTTTTTCTAAAGGTCACTGTTTTTGTTGATGTCAGATGGGATGTCCTTGATATTTGGTATTGAGTTCCTATCCATACTTTTTAGCACCTTATTGAAATGTCTCATAAGAAACACAATAGCATTAGAGATTCCTTCATCAGTGTTCAAGTCAAATTGTTCATCTTCATCATTGATGTTGGAAGTAAAAGTTATGTTCTTGTCCTTCTTTTCAGATCTATCACGAATGACTAGTTCAAAAGTTTGAAGTGACACAACAAGTTCACCCACTCCAGTTTGCTTATGTCTTGGGCTTCTTCAATGGTTGTGACATTCATGTCAAATCTCTTGGGCAGGGACATGAGAATCTTCCTAACCAGCTTTTCTTCTAATATCTTTTCTCCTATAGCACTAAAGGAGTTTCCTATTTCAAGAATATTCATGTGAAAATCATGAATGCTCTCATCATCTTTCATCTTTAGACTTTTAAATTTGGTAGTGAGCAGCTGAAGCCTAGACATCTTCACCTTATATGTGCCTTCATGAGTGGGTTTGAGAATTTCCCAAGCATCTTTGGCCACAATACAAGTGTTTATTAATCTGAACATGTTTTTGTCAACTCCATTGAATATGACATTTAAGGCTTTGAAGTTTTCAAGAGCACTTTTATCTTCTTCCTTAGACCAGTTCTCTTCTGACTTCAAAGTCTCTTTTCCATCTTTATCCTTAACCACATGATGTTCCCAACCCTTGATGATAGCTTTTCAGGTTTTTCTATCCATAGATTTTAGGAACGCCACCATACGTGCCTTCCAATAGTCATAGTTGGTGCCATATAAGATTGGGAGTCTGTTAACATTGTCTCCTTCTTCCTTTTCCATAGTCCCGGAAAGTATCTTCCTTGGAGCTCACCCTAAACAAAAATAGGGTGCCTGCTCTGATGCCAATTGAAATTATGGTAATCAGACACCAGATGTCGAGTATGATGTCACGACATCAGGATCATGACAGTAACATAATACAAACACTAATAAAATTAAATTAAATGGCTGGAAGTAAATAACAAAATTAATTGTTAACTCAGTTCGGTGCAACATCACCTACATCTAGGAGCATTCAAGCCAAGAAGGAAATTCACTAGAATAGTATTAGTTTGAAGCCCAAGTAAATAGCCTTCGGTTTACAATCTTCTCACTTAATCACTACCCGTGCTATTTCTATCTAAGACACTCCTAGATATGAGACCGTTCTCACTTCCCTTCAATCACACAACAATGATAAAACTTATTACAAAGAACAATAGAAAACACACTTCCAATGATACAAAATTCACTCTTGCTTAAAAGTTCATGAGTGATTCATAGTTACAACTCAATAAACACATCCCACTTCAAGCATCTAAGTGATGCATAAATAGCTCACAAATAAATACAGTCCAACTCAGATATCAAAGATGATATAAGAGTGAATCACAAATAACTAAATAACAACTAAAATCCTAATTCCACTTGTACACATACACACACGACTTAGTTCTTCTTAATTAGGTTTAGCACCATCCTCTTTAAATACCTTTGGTAAGCATGGCCTAAGGCAAAAACACGCAACAGATCTAAAACAGTAGCTGCAAATATTTTGCATAATCTTCTGCTTAAAAATAGGAACAAAGTCAAATGTTTCCCAAAAAGTCTCCAAGTCTCTTTTTATGAAATAAATGCACTTCTAAAACAAAATTGATGTTCCTAAAATAACCCTCCTTAAACTGCGACAAAATGTGAACTAAAACCATACAAAATCTCACAAATTAAGAACAAATCTTTCAAGAAGTAAAACAAAATCGGCACTTATGTCTAACTATCATATCCTGACTTTGTGCTTAACATCTCTACAATAATGTCTAACCAATATGTCAAGACATCTTGCTCAATATCTTGTTGTGAATCATGTTTCAATAAAATTACTCTCAATCTCAAAATCATATAACTAACCTTCTCTTTATAGACCATGCTGATTATATTGAAATTTGAAACTTGTATAGGTATATTATTAGCTGTTACGTGTGTCTACAAAGATTGCGTGGAAAGTTGATGTTCTAAATTGCAGTTTGTGCAATGCATATCATTGTGTCAGCTCACATATGCCTGATTCAAATTCAACAAAGGCAATTCTGGTCTATTCTTTTTCTAACTGCAAGTAGAAGAACTTGAGAAAGAAATAGTGGAGTGGAGAGAGAAAATAGAATTCTTCCGTGCAAAAATGCAGGAACTTGTGAGTGTTTTCTGTGCTTCTTACCTCCGTGCCTATTTGAAACTCTATCCTGTTGAAATTATGTTCTATTTTCTCTTTTTGCTAGTTTCTTCTTTCTTTCTTTTATTTTCTCTTTTTTTTTTTAAACAAATTTCTGATTTTCTTTTTCCTGCAAAAGGTTTTCTACAAGAGCAGATGTGACAAATTTCTGATAAATGTTTCGTTATTATGAGTAATCTTTCAAATGCTTTGATATGGGTAGCACACAGTTTTCAGCTATATCACGCGCATTTCACAAACTAACACTTGCATTAAAATCATGCAAAAACACCTCCGAAATTCGTCAACTTCATTGCTACATGATCAAAACATCTCTCACCAATCTTCCTTTTACTCTAAGCAAGCTTCTCGCTGCATCAATCATAGACATGGATTATGCATCCACCATTTTCAGTCATATTCAAAATCCCAATCTTTTCATGTTCAATACAATGCTTAGAGGCTATTCTGTTAGCAGTTTTTCTAATAAAGCTTTGCCCATTTTTAATGAACTCAGAAACCGTGGAATTGAGCTTGATCAATTTTCTTTCATCGCCGTGGTTAAAGCTTGTGGCCGAAGTTTAGAGGTTGGGTTTGGTAGAGGGATTCATGGGGTTGCGGTGAAGTCTGGGAATAGGATGTTTGTTGATTTGAATAATACCCTTTTGCAGTTTTATTGTGTTTGTAGAAGAATTGAAGATGCACGTAAGGTGTTTGATGAATTTCCTGAGAGAAATGATTTGGTGTCTTGGAATGCTTTGATGGGTGGGTGTGTTCTTGTTTCTCAGCATTGTTTGGTTTTTGAGTTATTCTTGAAGATGTGTTGTATTGGGATTAAAGCTAGTGTTGCCACTACGTTGAGTCTTTTGTGTGCAGCTGGTGATGTAGGGGACTTTGTTTTGGGGAAGTCTCTTCATGGTTACTGTATCAAAATTGGATTCGGTTATAATTTAAATGTTGTTACTGCATTGATTGATATGTATGCAAAAATGGGCCATATCTATTTGGCACGAAAAGTTTTTGATGGTCTTGTGGAAAAGGATGTTGTTTTATGGAACTGTTTGATACGAATTTATGCAAGGAGTTGCCTGGTTGAAGAAGCAGTGACATTACTACAGAAAATGAGACATGAAGGAGTGAGACCTAACTCTTCTACTTTCGTTGGGCTGCTTTCGGTGTACCCTGCATCCGGATCTATGCTTGGAGTCCGATATGTTACTAGTTTGATTGAAGAGGAGAAACTAGAACTGGATGTGGTTCTTGGAACAGCTCTTGTTGATGTGTATGCGAAATGCGGCTTTCTAGGTGAGGCCATGGACATATTTGAGAGGATGGAAAGTAAAGATGTGAAGTCATGGACAGCTGTGATTTCGGGTCATGGAATTCACGGGCAGCCAATGGAAGCCATAAGGCTTTACAATAGGATGGAGAATGAAGGGTTTAGACCAAATGAAGTCACCTTTTTGGCAATTCTTACTGCTTGTAGTCATGGAGGACTTGTTAATGAGGGGATTGAATTTTTTAAGTGCATGGTTCAGGAATATGGCTTTTCACCGCGGGTTGAGCATTATGGATGCCTTATTGATCTCTTGGGTCGAGCAGGAATGCTACACGAAGCATTTGAGCTTATCAAGAGCTTGCCCATTAAGGGTGATGCTACTTCATGGCGTACGCTGCTTTCTGCTTGCCGAGTCCATGGAGATGTTAAATTGGGGGAATGTGTGAAGGACGTGCTAAACTACTTTTACTCCGCGCATCCTACAGATTCCCTCCTCATTTCTAGCACTTATGCAGTTGCTGGAAGAATCTCAGATCTTACAAGAATTAAACAAACAAATGTTAGTTTAGGCAATTATGGTGTGCTCGAAACAGAGGGAGAAAATATGTTAAAGGAGGCTGGATTCAGCAGAGTTGAAATTGTAACTAGGGAAAATATGTTTTTGGCGGAAGATTAAGAGACAAACCTTCAGAGTTAAGAATCTTCTTAGATTTAAGAATGTTTGATTTATCAGTTGATTGTATTGCCAGGTTTTCTTTGGTAGAGGAAGAAAAAGAAGCATACATATGAAGTCCACCTGTATAGGACAATAATATTATCAAAGCATAATCATATTTATTGATATTCTGCATTAACAAATATTCAGCTATATGTTGCATCAACTTAATAAGATTTAAAGCATGTTTAGTGTTGGACGCCGACACGACACATAAACATATGATTATATTCAATCACTTTTGTTTTCTTAAACTATTAGTTATATCAACTTAATAATAGAAGCCAGGTTTGTTTGTGATTGGTATGAATGAAAGCAAAGTCAAATGAGAGAACTTACACTCTTTTAAGGCAATGTAAGCAATCTTGGCAGCATCATGTTCTGCCTGTTTTATGGTTCTAGATGCCTATATGAATAGAACGAGACTCTCTAGTTTTATATGTTGGTTTTGAAAAACCTTCTCTCTGTGCTAATTCAAGTAGTAAATTCGTGGCTGGACAAGAATCATTCTGAATAAATAGAATGCAAATCAAAATCCAATTTAAACTATTTTTAATGCATCTATAGCATTAACATAGTTTAACATTCAAACACAGGCTATATACTATTACTGATGAATCAAGTTATTATCTATTAACATCTAAATGTGTTGTAACACAACTTTGATTTTCGCCATCATTGTTAAATGTAATTCATTGTTTTGATTTGATTTGATATGATTAGATTTGATTTGAATATTTTGGACCTTTTATATTTTGGGCTTTTGTAAACCTAAAACTATAAATAGGGTGCTTTGCTTTGTATTCAACACAATATAGAACAGATTTCACAGTTGCAGTGTTTAACAAGTGAAAGTTCTATAAGAAATAAGAAATCCCACAGTTGTGGGTAACACATTCTCTCCAAACATTTCTTCTCTCATTCTTCTCTTTCTTGTTTGTTCTTCTTTTCTTTTGTTGTTCTTGATAATTACTTGTTATTACCATTACTATCATAGTGTGGGTTTGTTCATCAATCTTGAGATCAAGATTGAAGGGAATTCTTCATAGGGTGTGAGGTGAATTTCCAACAACTGATATCTAGAGCTCCGGTTGAGAGATTCAAGAAAGGAAGATAGTGATGGCGATGAACTATCCGAACGACAACTTTCCGGCGACCCTGCCAATTCTTAAGAAAGACAATTATGAGAATTGGTGCTGTTGGTGCAAAGATAGAATAAATGATGAAATAGGAAATATTACTAATAAGAGAATGACGGCTACAAAACATGATTGTTACAATGATTGTCACCCTATTTATAAGCTAAAACTAGGGTTACTAGAATAAGATAAATACTAAAATACCCTCTAACAAACTTAGGGGCCAAGAAAATAGTACAACTAAATAAATATGAATTATTAATAATATTCTAATACCATCCCTTAATTCATATTCCATCAAAACTTGTGACACCAATTCCATCCCTTAATCTGAGAAATTGATCAGTTTTGATAGCTTTCGTCAGAACATCTGCCAACTGCTTCTGAGTGCTGCAGTGTACAACTTCTAACACTCCACTCTGAACTTGATGTCTCAGAAAATGATACTTGGTCTCAATATGCTTGCTTCTCCCATGCAACACTGGGTTTCTAGCAAGATTGATTGCAGACTTATTGTCAATCATCAACTTCAGAGGTTTGTCTACTTTAATCTTCAGATCCTGCAACAGATTCAGAATCCACACAGCTTGGCATGCAGTAACAGCACCTGCAATGTATTCAGCTTCACAGGTTGACAACGCCACAACAGGTTGCTTCTTGGAACACCAAGAAATGGGACCTCCCAGAAATTTGAACAAGTACCCAGATGTACTTCTTCTGTCAACTCTGTCTCCACACCAATCAGAGTCTGAATAACTCAGAAGTTCTGACTCATTATTTCCTCCAGAGGGAAATAACACTCCATACTTCAGAGTTCCTTTGATATACCTCAGAATCCTGACAGCAGCTTGGTAATGGGACCACTTAGGTTTACTCATGAACCTACTAACCATCCCAACTGAGTAGCAAATATCAGGTCTGGTATTGCACAGATACCTTAGAGAACCAACCAACTGTTTGAAGGTTGTAGCATCCACATCCTTTCCTTCAGAGTCTGAATCCAGTTTCTGATTTGTATCAGAAGGTGTGACAGCCATCTTACAATTCTTCAGATCAAATCTCTTCAGAAGTTCTAATTCATACTTGAGCTGATGCAAAATGATACCTTTCTCAGAATATCTGAACTCCATCCCTAGAAAGTATGTCATTTTGCCTAGATCAGTCATTTCAAATTCATTCATCAGAACTTTCTTGAACTTGGCTATCTCCTGTTCAGAACTTCCAGTCAATAGTATATCATCAACATATAAACATACCAGAGTCATATTGCCTTCAGAAGTATGCTGAACATAGACACCGTACTCCATCTCACATTTCTGAAAGCCTTGCTTCTTGAAAAATGAATCAATCTTCTGATTCCAAGCTCTGGGCGCTTGTTTCAGTCCATATAGAGCTTTGTATAATCTGTACACCATCCCTTCCTGATTCTTTTTCACAAATCCAGGAGGTTGTGACACATAAACTTCTTCTTCTAATGGACCATTCAGAAATGCAGATTTTACATCTAAATGCATCAGAGGCCAATTCCTGTTAGCAGCTATTGCAATCACCATTCTGATTGTTTCATGTCTTGCTACAGGTGCAAACACTTCAGAATAATCCAGCCCAGGTTTCTGTAGAAATCCTCTGGCTACCAACCTTGCTTTATGTTTGCCAATTGAGCCATCTGGCTTTAACTTCTGCTTGAAAACCCATCTGACGCTGATGGCTTTCTTGTCTTTTGGAAGTTCTGTCAGCTTCCAAGTCTTGTTTCTCTCTATAGCATCAAGTTCTTCTTTCATGGCCTTCAGCCAGAGCTTCTGCTTAAGAGCCTCCTCTGTACTTATAGGTTCAGAGTCTACTAACATGGCACACTGAATAACTTCTCCTTCAGAGTCTACTTCAGTGTCTTGCAGCATGTCAAATTCTGCAAATCTTCTGGGAACGCTTCTGATTCTTTGTGGTCTCTGAACTTGTTCAGAGTCTTGAGCTTCAGAGTTTCTAGCTTCAGATGATTGACCTCCAGAGCTTTGACCATCTTCAGAGTCTGGCATATTTCCAGAGTCTGAATTGCCACCAAGATCTGGATTGCCATCAGAGTCTGAATCATCAGAGTCTGGGTCATCAGAGTCTGGGTCATCAGAGTCACCTTCATCTTCTGAGTCATCTTCAGAGTTTGAATCAGTATCAGAGTCAGAGTCAACGTCAGGGTTTACTTCAACTTCAGGAATTCTTAACTCTGGCCTTTCTTCAGAGGTTCTAACATCAGAATCAGATTGAGACTTATCCCAATTCCAAACTTCTGATTCCTTCACAATCACATCTCTGCTGAATTCAATTTTATTGGTTTCTGGACAATAGAGCTTGTATGCACCTGTACTGTGGTACCCTATCAGAATCATCACTTTGCTTCTATCATCCAGCTTCTGTCTTCTGGCTTCTGGAACATGTTTATAGCAAACAGAACCAAATATCTTCAGATGACTAACACTTTGCTTGTCTCCAGTCCACTTCTGCATAGGAACTATTTCCTTCAACTTCTTCGTAGGACATCTGTTGAGTACATACGTTGCAGTGGCAACAGCTTCTCCCCAGAGCTTCTGAGGAAGCTTCTTCTCCTTTAGCATGCTTCTCACCATATCAAGCAGAGTGCGGTTTCTTCTTTCAGCAAGACCATTGTGTTGAGGGGTATAAGGAGCAGTAACCTCATGCTCAATTCCATTCTCCTCACAGAACTTCTGGAACTCTTTGGAGTTATACTCACCTCCACCATCAGTTCTAAGAATCTTCAACTTCTGACCACTCTGATTCTCAGCCTTCATTCTGAACTTCTTGAATTCATCAAACACCTCGTGTTTGAACTTAATAAGGGATACCCATGTCATTCTTGTGAATTCATCAACAAACAACACAAAGTATTTATTCCCTCCAATTGATGCTACTGGAAATGGACCACACACATCAGAGTGTACAACTCCCAAGGCATGTTTTGCTCTTGGAGCAACTTCTGATGCAAATGGCAATCTTGGTTGTTTTCCTTCCATGCAAACTTTGCATGACTTTTCAGGCTTCTTAATTGCAGGAATTCCATGTACCAATTTCTTTGAATTCAGATGTTGTAAGCTTCTGAAATTCAAATGACCAAATCTTCTGTGCCACAGCTCACTCTCCTTCTCAGTACTTGTTGCACTAAGACACTCTGAGTCTGCAGTTCTGACATTCACCTTGAATGTTCTATTCCTTCCCTGTTCTGACTCCATAATCAACTTCTGATTACAGTCATACAGCTTCAGAAGATTGTCCTTCATGGTAACTGAGAAACCTTTCTCAATTAATTGCCCCACACTCATCAGATTGCTTCTGATGCCAGGTACATACCACACATTCTGAATCAATGCTATTTTCCCATTGTTCAGAGTCACTCTGACATTTCCCATACCTTCTGCATTAAGATATTTGTCATCAGCACATCTGATCTTTGTTCTCTTTTCAGAGTCAAAGTCAACCAGCCATTTCTTGTTTCCAGTAAGATGATTTGAACAGCCAGTGTCCATATACCACCAGTCTGTCAGATCATCAGATTCAGAGGCCATCAATAGCACAGATTCGTCATCAGAACTTCTGGCTATATTTGCTTCTTCTGATTTCTTCTCCTTGTTTGACCAACAATCTCTAGCAAAGTGACCAAACTTCTTACAACAGTAACATTGGATCTTCTTCTTGTCATACTTCTCTTTTCCCTTCTGAGCATTCTTTTGTCTATCAGAGGTTGAGGTTTCTGACTTCTGACCACCATCAGATCTTCTCCTGGCTTCTGACTGCTTCTGATACCTCCTATCAGAA